TCACAATTATTTATGCATTATGTTTCCTGTTCTTATGAATGTTCTCAACCATAACACGATTCAATATGTCAAAAGGAAAAAAAAAAGAAAAACATTTTAAGGCTGCTTATTGGATCAATAAAGCTAAACATTATTTTATCACTACATATTCCTTTATGAGAAGCTTATTAACTACTTGTCAAGTCTTAAGAACAAATGGCACAACCAAATTAAATACAGAGAAAGACAACATGAGATACAAATTACAATGTGAAAAATGAAGGTGACTTGTACTGTATAAGAGAGAGAGAGAGAGAGAGAGAGAGAGAGAGAGAGAGAAACATTTGACAGCAAATAAGGAAAACCTTCTCATGATGAACTGGTTTTTCTTGCAGGCAAAATAATAAGATTCCAGTTGAACAGCCTGACTGACACACTCGTGATCCCAGTCAAGAGAAAACACTCATGTCAAACCAAACAGGCTGAACTGCCATAATAGCTAAAACGACCATGTGAAATTATGTGGAAATGAGCAGAAACCAAAGTTTTATTATATATATATATATATATATATATATAATAATCACTGACTCAGCATTCCTGCCAGTGACTCAGTGACTTTGGGGGTAAATTAATGTTAGCTAAACAACATTAAATGAGGCTAATTCACTGAATGCTTAAAAAGGTATAAAATATAAAAAAGCTGATTTATTCTCTTGTAAGTTTTATGAATTTATTTTTCCTTTTTTTTTTTATTAATAGTAGTAGCAGTCAGTGTTGCAGTACTCGAGTCCAGACAAGACCAGACTCAGGTCCATCTCAAGTCCAAATCCATATTTTCAGGAGTATTGGGACTCGCTGTAGTTAAAGGGTTAGTTCACCCAAAAATAAGGCTGTGTTTTACTCACCCCCGATGCATCCTAGGTGTATATGACTTTCTTCTTTCAGACGAATCCAGTCGGAGTTACATTATAAATTGTCTTTGATCTTTCAAACTCTATCGTTGTACTCAGCGGGTGTTGCATTCCTTCTGTCCAATAAACACTTGAATGTAGCTTGCGCTCACTGTTGTAAAATGGAAGCAGTTCCGGGGGAATTACGTATGAGGTCAGCTTTGTGCATGCGCCGCTGAGAAGTGACGCACGCGGAGAGATCGAAACAAAACACTGGTCACTAATTAGAAGTACAAAACGAGGATTTGTAAAGAAGAATGTCGGAGGATTTCGATATAAGCCAAGAGGAGACTTGTTTTCCTTTGCTAAAGTAAGGAAACTTTGCTTCTTTTGATCCTGTAAACAAACGTTGGTTTTCACGAGACTCACTGGCGCTTGCGCAACGCTGACCTCATGCGTCATGCTCCCGGAGCTGCTTCTGTGTACAACTGTTGGCGCAAGCTAGATTCAAGTGATAATTACGTTTTGAATATGGATATTTTTCTTACAAAAACGCATCGATTCGCTACAGGAGGCCTTTGTTCACCCCCCGGAGCCGTGTGAGACACTTTTTTTTTGTGGAAGGGTGCCTTTTATTTCACGTCTTTTGGACAGAAGGAATGCAACACCCGCTGAGTACAACGACAGAGCTTGAAAGATCAAAGACAATTTTTAATATAACTCCGACTGGATTCGTCTGAAAGAAGAAAGTCATATACACCTAGGATGCATCGGGGGTGAGTAAAACACAGCCTAATTTTTATTTTTGGGTGAACTAACCCTTTAAGACCAGCTATTTCGAGTCATAGAAAATATGGTCTTGGACTCTTGACTTCATTCTTTCCTCCATATTAGGCCTTAAAGAGGTGATGCCAACAAAACAGCATCTTACAAGGATCAAGTCTATGCAGCAGTTTAGACTAAAACCTTTTTACTTTTTAAAACCTTAAACCTAGATGTGCAACTAGCCCTGGTCTCTCCTTCATTATACACTATCGTTCAATTTGGGTCGGTAAGACTTGTTAAATGTATTTGAAATATGTTTATTGTTCTCACCAAAACAGCATTTATTTAATCAGAAATGCAGTAAAAACTGTAGTATTGTGAAATATTATTACAACTTAAAATAACCGTTTTCTATTTCAATATATTTTAAAATCTAATTCATTAATGTGATGCAAAGCTGAATTTTCAGCAGCCATTACTCCAGTCTTCAGTATCACATGATCCTTCAGAAATAAATGCTGATTTTAGATTTTTTTATATATATAATTAATGTTGAAAGCAGTATTGCTGCCGAATATTTTTGTGGATTAAGTTCAGAATTAATGAAAACAGCATTTATTTGAAATAGGAATCTTTTGTTACAACATACATGTTTTTACTGTCACTTTTGTTTAAATGAATTCTTGCTAAATAAAAGCATGCAAATATGCAATGCAATATGTAAGACATGTTACAAAACCAATGGCAAAAAGCAAAACAAAACCACAAAAAACACATCCACATCATCTGTTCACAACTGTCGATAATTAAATCTACAATCCCAACGTTCTTCCTTTTACTTCCTCTTTCTTCTTCCTCAGTGTGTTTTGAGTGCCCGTGTTTCCTGTATACTTCCTGCTTTGTTGGCAGTCATCTATGTGAGGGAATGGAACTTGGCCTGGCTGACATTTCCTTTCTTGCTCTAAACACTGGGTCAGTAACAGAAGTGTTTCCTCTGCCTTGTGTAGCCTGCTCACACAATGCAAGGGTCAGGATGTCTCCAGAGACTCTCTTTATTGTGTTATTTTATTACAGTTTTGCACTATTGTGTGACAGAACCTTGAATGACTGACATTTTATCCACTTTGCTAACAGACACCATGGTCCATTGGACAGGGTTGCACAGAGGTAGTCAAGATGTTGTATCGGTATGTCTTGGGGAGACCACTGACCTGCAAGAACAGCTGCCATTGTCTCAAGGAGATAGAGGACTCTATGTTCTCCTCTGAGGTCTGAAACGCAGGGATCTGATAAGAACTGCTTTGTTACTAAGCAAAGATGACTTCTTCCTGGATTTACGCATGTCAACCTTATTTAATGCCGTGAACTTCCTTATGAACCCAAGAGAATGGCTATACAGTGGCCACAAAAAGGTTTCTGGACACTTCAAACTTTCATTGCATTGTAATATTTTGACCTCATTGACTAATCTAGTTGAGGATGATCTGTCAAAGTTCTGGCTCTTCCAGTAACAAAGTCGATTTGCCAGATTCCATAAGACCTCTGTACGTCTAACCAGTTTAAACGGGTTTAACTTTAGCTAAGCAATGTAAAGTTTCATTTTTCATTCTTTTGTTTGCTTTTTCACAGCTCTCTGTCTCTTTTGCCATTTTACAGATACCCTCTATCTCTCAGATGCATTCCTCTCACATCTCAGCGGTTTACTCCTCCCTCTTACCAGCTTTTAGACAGCTGTCCTCCTCACGGAGATCTCGTATCTGTGACGTCTGCGACCTTCAGTGTTAAAAAGCAGTGAAACTAAGGGAAAAACCCCATGATATACATAGTTCTTGACTGGATGTTTACAGTGTTTCAGTGTCACACTGAGGAGATCTTTTAACTAATATCAGATTCTGCTAATATTGGCCATGACATTTGTCCAATGACGTCTGGACGTCTCCTGCTTAGTCAGAAGACTGTAAATTTGGTCTTGTCCGTGACGTAGATGTTCCCAGGAAAGATGGACTTTGTAGAAAACGAAGCGTAGAGGACCTACAATAATGTACAGTATTTGAAAAATAATGTGTTTTTTGAACATTAAAGCATGTCAACATATTCTGTTACACCAAATAATGATCTTTAAAAAACCATCATATGACCCCTTCAACAATGCAATCATTTTAAATATGTGTTTTATCAATATTTTTATTAAAGACTAGTTGGAAATTAAGAGATTAATTGTGATTATTTCCCTGTTTTATCATTTTTATTTTATAAATGTGTTATGTGGTCATAGCTTTTAAAAACCAGAACAATCTGGTTATTAATAGAAATAGAGAACTAAAAAAGAAAAAGAAAACTGTAAGCGGTTTTCAAATAATAAAGAACGTTTTGAATATTTACATAATGATCAGCTTTAGTATAATGACACTGTAAAGGTTAGGAAACCTCTGCTAAAGAGCATATTTTACTCAAACACATGGTCTCCGGGCTCTTTTTAGGCCTGACTGTGGGGATTCCTCAGGAACAGGGGTTCGCTTCTGTAGTCAGCAGACCCCCCTCCATTCACAACTCGTCTGCTCTATTTTAAAATGGTCTTATTTTGGCCACAACTGAACTGGCATGCTGTGACCTCTTTCAGAGAGATGGGGGGTGTCTACAACTAAAAAAAAAGTCTGAGATCATATCATACACAAACCAGTACTGCAACAACAGCAACTGTGACTGAGACAAAACAGTGGATGCCTGCCTGCCTACACATATAACAGACTGCAGTTAATGTCTAGAAATGCAGACAGATACGGTGGCAAACAGAAAGTTGGAAAGAGAAGGAAAAAAGCCTGTGTGAAGTAAAATGTACTCACAGCTGGGTGCAGACGCTCCACGGCGGACTTTACTAGGAGTGAGAGTGAGTGCTTGTGTGTGCCTTTGTGTATGACTTAGCTGGTGACATCACAGCATTCCATAGTCTCTCTCTCTCTCTCTCTCTCTCTTTTCTTTTGCTCTCTCTAACAAACGTACATTACACACTGTCCCTTCACACTTCCTTTCTGTTCCTGTAACTCTCTCAGGCTGGAGGGAAACTCAGGAAGCAGACCTCAGCTGTTGGCACCGCAAACGAAGTAGTAGCATCCTGTTTAACAGAGACAGAGGCGGGAGAGAGGAGGAGGGGCGGCTGAAGGAGAAGGAGAAACAAATGACACAGAACTAACTTCATCACTTGAGCAAAGGAATTTACAGAAAAACACGTAAGAGGATGAGTCGATCTTGACATTACTCAATGCAATTTCAGTGCCAAAAATAAAACACAACTGTACAGTATTTAAGGCACTTCCTCTCACTGAAATTTTACCAATGATTACTTACAGTGCAGAAAATCTCCTCTTGTAATTTCCTTATAATTTTTTTTTTTTGGTGTAAATTAACATACAGGAAGGACACTGATTTACAAGCTTAAAGACTTTGTTAAAAAAAAAATTATGTAAAAAAGACACTGTTAACGACATTGTGTTTTCAGACACGCAGCATGCTTTAGTGTAATCAGACACCAGGGGGCGCACGAGTGCAACTGTCTTTGTTATCGCTCAGAAATAGTTGTACTGCTGTAACGAGTGCAGTGATACTCTAGGTTAATGAATAAATCAGTGAAATTGTGACCGCACAAATTTCCAGTCATATATATATATGACACAAATCCAGCCACTCTGGAATCTAGCTTTCCTTGTTTTTAATCTTCTTCTTCTCTCTCAGTTCCTATTGGATTGGACCGTTTTCATCTGCAAATGTGTACTGAAATATATATTTTTTTTATTATTTCGGAGAAATTTGTATATGGAAATGTAGGCTGCATTTGCTTTGTTACTGTTTAAATACTGAAGTTTAACCAACAGCGCCATCTACTGGTTTTCGAGAACCGGTCTGTTATGAGTGGACCTGATAATGTTGATTTAAAGGGATCGTTCATCAAAAGTGGATCATATTCAGATCCAAAAATGCCTTGCTGTGTAGCACCAAACTTGATACACACACACACACACACACACACACACACACACACAAACAAACTCTAGTATAAACGTGTGTTGGAGAATGCAAATTCTGTCACCAAACGGTTGCTGATTCCCATCAACTTCCATAGTATGGGAGGGGGGGATGCTACATAAGTCAGTGGGGACCAGCAACTTTTTGCTTACCCACATTCTTCAAAATATGTTCTTTTGTGTTCAGCAGAAGAAAGAAATTCATACAGGTTTGGAAAAACTTGAGTATGAGTAAATTACTTTTCATTTTGGGTGAACTATTCCTTTAAGTCTATTCATCACACAAATTTATACAGTATTTTTATGTTGTTTGTTTGTCCATTTGGAGCTTGACAGTCCCAGCCTCTGCTTATTATGAACTACTGTTCTATGGACATTTTTCTAAAATGTTCCTTTTCAATAAATAAATTAATAATAATAATTTATTATTACTATTATTATTAATGCTTATAATAATAATGGATAACTATTAACAGTTGTTATACAAGAGTTGCATCAAGATTTTTCAAAAAAAAATTTTTTTAAATATAATAAATCTATTTTTAAATAAAAAATAAAGAATAACACAAAAATATATGGCTTTGTGAACATTGTTGTTTTTTACTAAAACATTATCACACATCTTCTGTTTATATAGTCATATATATTTTAGAAAAAAAATGACAGCATCTATTTGTGTGCATTTCTTGAGTAATGCACAGTTACCATTATACTGTCATTAGTGCTTGTTTTCCCCTTGTTCTTTGAAATGGTCCCAATCTTTAATAACATTTCAGAATTACCACACTTATGTATCAGCTTAGACATAAATGTTTTGGACTGTTGGACTGTTAAATCTACGTTGCTCACAGCAAGGGTCAGGCAACAGAATAAAATCAAGTGTTTCATGTTGAATGGAAACAAAGTGATCTGAAACTTATGTGGAAACCATGTGTATAGTAAAGGACTGCTGTATTTTCATGAGCAAATTACTTGTATCACAAGAACAACTAAATGAAAATTGAATTGCAAATAAAAACATACTGACTATGGGTCGTGTTATGCAAGTCTGGTTATTTCTTTACAGATATAATCAGTAAATAATATTACTTATCTAGTGCTTTTGATAATGTTTGGATAACGGCAAAAGTGAAATGGCTATGCTTAAATATTATTATTCTAAATTTTACTTTTACTATTAAAGGGGTCATGAACGAGAAATCAAATTTCCCTTGATCTTTTGACATATAACAGGTCGATTTAATATAAAAACATCATGTAATGTCAAAACATTCTCGTTAGTTTAAAAACAGCTTTTTATTGAAACCAAGCTCAGAAAACCACTTGTTTTGGAATGGGCCACTTTATAACTTAATAGTGTGGCTAAGCACCACCTCCGCAGGAGAAGATCAATGCCTGCTTACATCACTGCCTCTTTAGCCCTGCCCACTGATACAGGCTTGTAGTAGGAGGAGAGGAAATACTAGGGATGCAAACACAGGATTAGGCCTACTCCATCAACAGAACCATACAGATGACATTACAAGACTACAAGTAGGGCTGTGCAATATGGCCAAAAAATTATCACAATACATTTTTTCATCAGTCGATAGCGATAATTATCCAGATACATTTAAAATCTTTATTTCGTTCATATTTTTGCTTCTAAGTGAAAGTTGTAGAAACCAGACTGTTAACAGTGGTTTTAAACTACTCTTTACGGTTAGAACATGACACTTATCATGTACACTTTTCCAGTCAATTGTCTCTTTGAAATGCACATTTGACAGTAGCTTGAGTTGACTGTAGTAGTAGCTTGAGTTAGGATGCAGATGTAAATTTATGTTTACTATAAATTTACTGTTTAAAAACAGTAACATCTGTAAAAATTGTAACAACCTCATTTTTATATGGTGAAATTTAATTATTCTGACTGTTTGAGTTTTGTTAAAATGACCCATTGGTCTTCCATAGTAGCACACATTTAGATCATGATAACCACAGTTAAAAAGAACTTGCACAATTGGTGGCTGACTAAATACTTTTTTTCCCCACTGTATAACCACCTCAATATACCATGGTAAAAATGCAACTATATGGTTTCTAGGTATTTGTATGAAAAACAGCAGTATAAATGCATTTAGTATAAAAGCACAAACGCCGTAGCTTAATCACACAAAATCCTGTAATTATTACTATTTTAAATCACGGAGTCATTTGTGTTTTTCGCTGAATTCAAGCGCTTCACACTGGATCTCACAGCGCTGTTTGGTGTCGCGCCGCGCTGCCGTGTGAACTCTGACCGAGCGGATAAATGCTCAGCGTGACGCGCTTCAAATGAGTCGCGCTGTTTCGATCCGCTTTTGGGTCAAAATAAACATTAAATCGAACATTTATCAAACTTAAATTTATCGTGAAAAATTATATCGCGAAAATTATCGTTATCGTTTTATCGCCCAGCCCTAACTACAAGACAATGTGTCGTGTAAGTTGTGAAAAATAGTCTTTGAATTGCCTTCTTTGTGATCCTAACATATCTAGAGGCGAGCACTGTTGCGCAATGTTGTGAATCAATTTCTATTTCAGGTCAGAAGTGCGAATGCTTGTATGTCAGAAATAGAGCGGACATAAGTTTACTGTCGGAGATTTGTTGTCAATCCATGTGGCATCCAGTGTAGACAGTGTAGGCATCCAATTTGTTGGCATCCAGTGTAGACAGAATCGCAGATTATAGTGGGTTCTGCTGTCTATCGCGTTGCACCGCTGGTGTCTAGGTGTTGGGTATTGTTTTTTTTGTTCTTTTCTCGATACTGGTGCCAAATCGATACATTTAAAATGCTTCCGGTGTCTGAACCGATATTTATTAAATAATTAATTAATTAAAATACCCCAAAAAATGATGGATTGGCCATTAGTACTATAAACACATGATGTCTGTTTCATTCATACTGGATGCCAGAGGGTGCCCTCATACAGAAAATCCACATATCCAGTCACAGAAGTAGCTGAACTCATGACCTTCCAGGAAATCCTTTATATGGTCAAAGGCATGGCTATTATAGCTGTAACTGAGTAAACAGAACATATAAACGTTTTGAATGATAAAACAAAGACAATAAACACTCGACTGCGACAATATAGTTTATCTGTGTTATTCAAGCCATCGCTGGTATTTTCATAACAATTAAGTATATTTATAATCCATTGCTAATCGATGTATTCTTTTTAAAGAAGCCTGGAACATATTTTCTGCCTCATTCTGTGACAAGAAGCCACATCAGATCACAGAAGGAAGCATTTGACTGGCGTTGCGGAGTAAAAAGGTTATAATGTTCTCTTTCGTTGGACAACAGGTTTAGAAATGTGAATACAAGGGAGGTTTAGCTTTAGGCATTTTAATTTAAGCATGTTTAGCTTAGTTAACAGAAGGCTACCTGCTGCCATCAGAGCAAGTTACTGCATTCACGTGCTCCTCAGATGCTCTCATTTCCCGAGTTGTGCTTTTAAGTCGGAATGTGAAAACAACATGGACACTCGCGTTACTACAAAGATTTGTTGGATTTGTATTGGAGCTTTCCGACTTGAGAAATTATCGGGAAATTATTTTTCACATGTGGTGCCGGTATATTTTCATGATATTTATGATTCGGTTCTAGTACATACCAGCAGGGGCGGACTTAACCATTAGGCAAAGGTAGGCGACCGCCTTGGGCCCCCAAAAGCCAAGGGCCCCCTAAAATGCTTTTTATATGCGAGATGCACGTTCAGTGCGGACGCACAAGTGGTTGCTGTGGTGTTCACGACAACCGTCTGTGCGTCCGCGTTGAACGTGCTTCTTAGCAAAAGTAGGGCGATGTAGAAAATGGGGACGGAATCCCGGAATCTATTCATAAAAACGGAATGTACTGTGTAACGCAGAATGTGACTGAATGAACGGCACAGACACGCGTTTCGTTTGCTATTTAAGCATACGCAACGCTCGCGGTTGTCGTCTGTTGTAGCTAAATAGTATTTTTGCCATTTAATATTCACATACACTAGTCCATATCGCGGTTTGATTGAAGTGTACTGAATTGCATTTGATTTATTCATTCAATATTTGACGAATTCTGTGACATTGCTCGTTACACTGTAAACTTATGTTGTTTAGC